TACAAGTCTCACACGTTCAAGGTGAACAAAAAGTTCGTCACTACTAATGTGAATTGAATTAATATCTATTTATATAAGATTTACAGAATTGTTCTTAAAATTGGATAACTCAAATAATTGGAGAATGAGCCTTAGTGCAAGTCTCTTAATAAACGCCCGAACGATAATACAGCTTACCGAGCAATAGTAACGCAAAGAAAGCTCTGGCAGTAGACAACTGATGGAAAGAATAACTGGCTTTTGATATATCAAGATATTCAGCAGATTCTTTTGCATCGTCGCTGTATGTTCGTACCACGGTAAATCATATACACTTTGTGAAAATTTCAAACTCTGCAAATTATAGAAGAGTGATAAGACACGTATATCATTCACCTGTATGCAGGATTTACCATTTCTTTCATGTGATCAGCCGGCCACGCGTACATGTAAATATACATGAGCAGGGACGCAGTAATTCCTGCGAACAGCATTTTCGCTATCAGTGGTGTATTCTGTTCGTAAATTGCTCTAATTAGGTGGTTGTACGCAGAAATCATCACTCAAATATCATACTCACAATGACTATTGCTAAGGCACATATAGTTATGACAAACATACACGCAGCTATGACAAACAGAACCATGAAACGGAAACAATCAGCCACTTCTTCCGCGTATCTGGAAAAAAAAAAGGAAATGATCGCGTAAACTGACAAATATATCTGGTAAGCTATCGCTATTACCTTTTTAAACGCAAGTGTTTCTCAATATATGGGGCCAGCATACGAATATCCGCGGTGTTCTGCAGCTCAACCATTAAACATTCGAATCTCGCTGCGGTGAACCAAATTAATAGCGCACCAAACAAACACATGCATTCGTGGGCGCATACCTGATGGCAGGTGATGATCTGATGCGCATGTATAATAGCGCTCACTAATGTCCGATTATTAACGTCAAACGGATACTCAGCGAATATTAGATCAACAATTGGAAGGAACAAGGGTCCGATCAAACCAACGAACACTATGATGTATATAGTTACGATGTAACCGCCATAAAGCACGTTGACCCTCGCAAAATACTCGTGAAGAATATCCCTCTCATATTGTTGAGCCCTCTCGATGAAACTCCACAGCTCCTCTATTATACTCTGCAATCTATTCTTAAAGCATCGAAAATTTTCCACGTAAAACAACGAGAGAAAGTGAGTGGAAACCTACTTGTAAAGTGTCGTACTTGCTGAAACATATAATAGTTTGTACGATACATTGAACTTCGAATATCGCCTGGGCAACACAGTGAAAAACAATTTCTACGTCCGATCGCAAATACACCGTGTATAATGTAGGCAGAAGTAACAAGGACATGTTAATAGCTGCACAAATTTGCATTACTCTGTAACCAAATATCACAGTTTTGCTATTGCTCGAACGCAGCGGCCAACAAAATGTTAGAGCCACACTCAGTCGAATAATGTTAATAGCCTTCTGTAGCGTTAAATTTCTTAACATAATTTCTGAGGGTTGTGTCCGTCTTGTACGAACTACTTTACGAATGTGATGATGCAGCAAAGTGCCTGCATTGCTGTGAACTGCAATACTATTGCGAGTAATTGTCGAATTGTTATAAGATATACATAAGATACTCCTTTGAACAATCGTGATGGTTACTGTCTCGCATGTATCAGGGTTTGAATAAAATATTACGCGGTGTAATAATTAGAACAGTACATAGGTTGATAATCTCTTCCGGCTCGTTTTAGTATGCTATTTTATGCATTCTACATGCACGTAACGTGCATAAAGCACGTGTTATTACCTACCAGAGTCAATATTCATGAAGTACTAAAGTACTGTTACCCTTGGTACTACGATTTAAAGCGAGGGAGAAGTTTAAATTCTTAATCAAAACATAAAGGGTATCGACACGAGATTTTCTTCAAATTGAATCTGCATTGAGGTCGTACTATCATTGTGAGTTAGACGCATCGAAGATAAGGGAGAGAATTGAAGACGAAGAGGC